ACCCATTCCTGCCATTCAGGCCTACAACACATTCCAAACAAAGTTGGGACAGTGGTAATTTAGGGCTTGAAATCAGGTAAAATAATCAATAATGATGTGATTTGAAACAGGTGATGCCAACAGGTGATTTGAGTCATGACTTGATGACTTGACTCAGGATTTGTCAAACCTTTGTCAAGCACTACAATTTGTAGTTACACTCACAAATGCCAGTTAAAACGTCATTGTGCCAAAAAGAAGCTCGACTTCTCTGGGCTCAGATGCATCTGGGATGGATTACACAGTGTAAATGTGTATTGTAGTCAGACTAATCCATATTTCAGTGAGAAATGGGTGTTGTATGCTTCAGACCAAAGATGAAAATGACCATCCAGACTGTTACCAGCAAAGTGCCCTTGGCAAAGGTAACTCACATTTCTGTGATGGCACTATTAATGCAAAATACATTGAGATTTTGAAGCTACATATGCTGCCTAAAGACATCTTATTCATTCCCTGGTTAAACGGGAGTCATAGAATCATAGATAATTGCTTAAGAGTTCATGAACACTCAGGTGGATGTAGCAAAATCAGAATCAGAATAATTGGCCAAGTATGTTGACATACACAAAGAATTTGATTCCAGCCTTTGGTGTCTCTCTAGTATTAAATGCAATATACAAACAAGTAATATACAGACTATGTGCATTTCATTTACAGACAATATACAACATACAAGCAACAACATATGTAGGAGCAAGCAATATACATAAGTGTGTGTGTTAGTGCAATTTGATTTGTTATTTTCAGGGGTGTTTCTAGACTGCTAGTTGTTAAGGGGAACAGAATTCATTTTGAATCTTCTTACACTCCTACCTCTTGTGACTGTCATTTCACTCAGTCTGCCTGTTCTGATTCTTTCACTCCTTTTCTCTATTCCCAGCTTAAGCAAAATGTTGATAATACTTGAAATGACATATTGGACTGTAGTATCCCAGCATTACACCATTAGATTGCACTCATGGCCGCAGGAAAAAACAGCCCCTACTACGTCAGATGACAGTCCATAGTTGAAAATCCATTTCGTTGTAAAGTTAGATGTACAATAGTGGCATGCTATTTGATCATGGTGAAATCAGATTGATCGGGTGCAAATTGGGGTCATGCACACACCTGAAGTTTGGATCGGTGCATTAGCAACATTTAAATAATATTTTATTCAGTTTTCTTACATAGGAAAACCTGATTTTATTAAAAAAATAATGTTCTTGGGTCTTTTTGGGCTACAATGCCTTGAGACAACATTGTGTGACAACAGAAATAAGTGAAGAACAGAGCTGATGCTATCTCTTCTTTCTCTGGTATTCTGGGCAGGTCCATTCAGATCCTTTTACATTGGTGTAATAAAATGTTTGACAGCTTCCAGAACAATAATATGATCTTAGCTGCACAGAAAGTTAGTCATCAGTGTGAAAGTGCATTTGATGAATTCATATGATTCCGGTTTGTTGTTAAAAGACCAACTGGAGATAGGCAGTACTAATGTTAGCCTAGCATCTCCTGCTGTAAACTAGAGAAGCAGGCGTCAGATACAACAAACATGTCTTGGCTGATTGACTGCAGTTGGTCTGCTTCTCTGCATCTGCATCACATACCTGTGTCCTAGTGTTACAGATTATGTAGCCTGTTGACATTGTTTTGACTCTGCACTCCTGCTATATGCCCTTATGTCACACACTCACTGTTGTCATATCTATAGTGATCTCAACAAAATATAACTTAAAACAAGAGAAATGGAATGGAAAAGTAAACTTGAAGTAGAGCTTCCATATTGGAGACCCATCTTAAGGATTCAGATTGAGGAGAGCCAAAAACACTGGACCACTCTCAATACTGAAGCCTTGCGGTGCAAAGTTATTGCATTTTTATTAGCTTTTTAATGAACTCTACCACAGAATTATGTTCCTCTCCCTCTGGTACTCTGTAGATTCTCATATTTTCCCTTGTGATTGTGCTTCCACTTTGAATTGAAGATGCTGCTGGTCTTTTAGAATTTGAGCAGGTGTGTCTCACCTTGATTTCCACTATGTATTTTTCGGTTTCTTTCGACCTTTACATCGTAGCTTTTAAGTCACATATTATTTCAGTGAGTTGTTGTGGATGAATTAATGTTTGAGCACTATCAGTTCAAATATTGGCCTCCTTCTTCATGTCCTCATGAAGGGCTTTGATTTCTTCTCCTATAATTTGAATGCTTGTGTGCAGCAATTGCGTAGCTTTGAACTTACTAAACCAAAAATAAAAATGTGGCACTACTGTTTTAACCTGCCCCACACCACCACAACTGCAGATGGTATTGCAGAAATTAACACCTGCAGGGACAAGCCCAACAAGATGTGAATCAGTTCACTCCCTGTAGCTTGATGACTTGAAAGACAAATAAAGTAGGCCGCAAAAATGTCAAGTAGACAAATCAAGCATGCCAAACAATACATACACACATACATACATACATCATCTAAACTGCTTATCCTTCTGGGTCGCGGTGGGGTGCTGGAGCCTATCCCAGCAGTCATTGGGAGGAAGGCAGGATACACCCTGGACAGGTCGCCAGTCCATCGCAGGGCAGAAGCCAAACAATAGCCTAATAAAATAGCCTTTTCTACATTTAGATGTGAATCTGAATGCCACACTGCTAACACAGAGGCTTTTTCCAAGCGTCAACATTGTGGTTCTAATTCCTGATTGGAAATGCCCTTCATTTAGCTCAGCTTTCTTGAGAGACACAAAATATGCTAGGCTTTTATATGGTGGCATTAGCTTATCAACATACAACAACAGAATAAGCAAATTTAGTATGATAAAATGAATATAATTTTGCTAAAGCTATAGTAAACTAACTAGCCCTATATTCAGCCTACATTGCATTTTAGATATCAGTTGATGACTTGTAGGTATCAATTGATGTCCAAGTTAGCTAACTAAATAGCCAACCTAGCTAATGTTAGCTGGTTAGGTTCAGTACACAGTAGCATGAAATACCACCAATTTGAGTTAAGAAAAGGGAAAAAACGGTGCCCAGTGTTTGGTCTGGTGTTTATAAAGTTGATGCTTATTTCAAGATATAATCAGGTTATTTCCTAAAATGTGATCATGTATTAAGATGATAACAATTAAAATATATCAAGAAAAGATATCCAAGATATATCCCACGAACATGCCAAATACCCACAATTTCATTTTTGCGTAGATCTGTAGAGTGGAGTCATAGAAGACGTTTCTGCTGAGCATATAAGAAGCTGCAGTGCTGCCGTGCTCAGCTCTCACAACAACAGAGCATCCAGCAGGAGGAGTGGCAGGACTCTGAACTGAAGGGAATCACAGAGAGGCAGAGCAAGCTGTGGGTAAACCAGTGACTGTTAGAAGTTAAGTGGTTTCTACATGCGCATTATTACCATGTTGAGCTTACTGAAGGTGATTGTTCTGAAAAGTAATGAATGTCTCGCTTCACATTTTGAAAATTGGGCAAAAAAGAACAAACTGAACATATTTGGGGTGTGTTCCACATTTAATGGCTTTGCAAATAGTTTCAAATAACTATGATTAGCATCCTAGACAGGAACTTTTTTGTTTTTGTGAGAAAATTTTAAGCCTTTTGAAAAATCTTGTGCAATCAGAACTGTCAGAGATGTAGATAAACTGAAGCAGTCTCCATTCATGCTATTATAATTAGTGTTTTGTAATTGCTAAAAAGTATTTCTCAGTGCCAAGTTCCCTGGTTCAAAACTCCTCACATGCCTCTCTGCAGAAACAGCTTGGCACAGCCATTCATTTTGTAGCCAAAATGCTCTACAGCTATAAAAACAGTGCAGAGACATCTCAAAATAAACTCATTCTATCAACGCTTGTGTTCTTACACTATAAAAAATTACTTAATGTAGAAATAAGCAACTAAACTAGTTTTATTCTACTCAAAATATTACACTGATTGAAAGAACAGCTTCTAACATTAAAGCAGATCCACTATTCTATGTAAATCTATGAAGCGGTAAAGAGTTTGACCCCTTAAATGGTCAGGACCCGCCAGTGGGCCCAAAGTTTTATTACACACTTTTAGCTGTATAGCTCAAAAAGTTTGCATTGAAGTACTTTAGTTTGGTATTTTAGCTGCATGCTTTTAACTCTTGTTTTACAAGAGATGCATTGATTATGCATTGATTATTGTATTGTACCTCCTGAGGTTTCAAACAGGTAAAAGGGGCGTTCCTGTACATTTGGACCATGTAGAAGTCTACTCTGTTTAGTTCCCTACCTTTGGTTGTTGGCCAGGAAAGTTTAGTGTAGTTGAGATAAGAGGGATTATAGTGCAGAGTTTTTATTGTGGTTGGTTTTAATAAAATAACTTCAGAAGCTCTTATTTGTCTGTTCCTCATGCTTTTATCCTTCATCACCTGTTCAGTATTTTAAATGCCACATGTTACTGACCCCATAGTGCCCTAGACACAACGTGGGGTCATAACATCATTACATTAGAAAAACGGTGCACAACGAAATGGAGCAAAGTAATAGAAACTAGTACAGTCCTTTAGGTTACCTAGCGAAGAAATGGAAAAGCATATTCTACTGTGTCTACATTTGACCACATGTTCTCATCCACATCACACCTAGTGTCCTCTCTTTCTTATGGACATACGAATAAGTGCCTGCTTATGTGCTGGACCCATAATGGACTGTCCACTATAAATGAAATAACTCCAGGAATGACACTTTTTTTTAACAAATGGTCAACACCTGGTAGGACATCAGCTCAGATGGGAGTCAGTTGTGATTGATTAGTAACATATCACTGCTGTCAGAACAAAACCTTGTGTCTCCACAATGATAACTTGACAGTAGAAGCAAAAAACTTTACTTTTAATGTGAATCAGTGGAACCAGAATTTTTTCCAAGTCATTTTGGGCCGTTTTTTTTTTTGTTCTTCATGAAATTTACACACAATGTAAATGGCAACAGGCATTTTTTTCAAATAATGTCAAAAACTGAAAAACAAACATGGGGATATGAGGTTTTGTTCCAAAAGCAGTGATATATTCAATCAGCAGTTTGTCTCTATAATCATTATCATTTTTGGGGATTTGACTGTTGTCCAGTACAGTATTGGGGATTTAGCAAATTCATTCATATAAGGGTCTGGACATAAGTGTAACAGTGTATGCAAGTATTTGCAAATTGAGCTACAGATATCCAGTTTTATTAAAAACCCAGTGAGAAATAAATGAGAACATTTTGGAAACTGTGGTCACGGAAGGATAAGCGGTTTAGATGATGGATGGATGGATGGATGGTCACGGAATCTGTATTCAAGCATGGAAAAAAAACTGTGTGAAGAAAAGAAAATTCAGTACTCACAGTGCTTGTTAGCAATCAACTGTAAAATCACCTGTTCCAATAGTCTTTGATCAGTTACCATTGTGAAAAAAACAAAGTGATGTCAGCGTAAAAACTTTCTTTTCGTAAAAACTTTTTCTTTTTTTTCGTAAAAAGTTCCTTGTACACTGTTTCATTCACTGACATGATTCTTTCCTGAAAAACTGAGAAAGGGAAAACAGGTATAATGCATTATATTGCACCTGCAGTAGGTAAATTACAGAGGCCTGCTGGCAACATCCCATATAAATAAAAATAATGCTTAATTATCTTGTTCCCACACCTTACTAAGTTGTGCTCATGCATCATTTTTATTTCTATAGGATGTCACCAGCAGGGCTCTGTACTAAATAGCTAAATCACTGAAGCTAAGCCGAACCAAGTCGTAGTGCAGAAACAGAAGAATTCCTACACACATCGAAGGGTAAAACACTGACCTGGTCAGTAATTCATCCCTGGCTCCCCCACTGATTCTGCCCTGCTGCCTACACAGCGGAAGGTGTATAACTAATGTTGGATTGTCTGTGAATGTACACTGATCAGCCATAACATTATGACCTGTTTCTACACTCATTGTCCATTTGATCTGCTCCGCTGACCATATAGCAGCACTTTGTAATTCTACAGTTACAGACCGTAGTCCATCTGTTTCTCTACATACTCTGTTGGTGATATCAGATCTCAGTTGGATATTCGCTATAGATTTGCACTTAGACTGCACTTTAACATTCTAGAGAACCTAAATTTGACTGTCTCTTCAGTTATAAAAGGAGAAACAGAGGAGAAAAACAGTTTGATACAGTTCGGGGAGAAAGAGAGAGTGACAAAAAGAGGAAGTGAGAGAGGAAGAGAGCAGATAGAGGGAGAGAGAGTGCGGTGTTTAAAGGGCGTGAAAAGTGGGAGTGCTGAGGGCTTTCAGATGGAAGTATTTTGTGTGTGTGTGTGTGTGTGTGTGTATGTGTGTGTGTTTTGTAGCTCATTTACATATATGAGTCTTAAAGACACAGTAACAAAAGCAGCCTGTTTAGTTCTAAGGGATAAAGAGAGATATACAAATGAATTATGACTGTTTCAGTACATACACTTACACAAACATCATTAGAAAGTACGAGCCCTCTTTAAACAATTACATTTTGTTAAAGAAAGGAAAGTAAGAAAGGGCAGGCAGAGGACCAAAAAAACTTGTGACAAACGGAGAGCGGCAGAGAGGAAGTAGGACCATTTATTTGGTGGTGCAAAATCATCTAAAGAACCTGAATAACAATGAGGCTCATAAATCCAGAAACTGTGAACTTTCTACTCATTGTCATCCTCCAGAGTGTCCCAGGTAAGAGCTTAATGTGCTTATGGGGGTCTACTGCAGATGCCTGTGTTTGATTTTGGTTGTTTCACCCTTTTTACATAGAGCACTGAAATGGATAGTTTACACTTCTCATGAAGTCATGTGATCTGTAGGTGCCTTTTTAAGTGAAAAGAAAACGATCTACCAAAACTAAAAAGCTTTGATTTTTGCCATAAACTCATTTTGAAACAAGCAAACAAATGCATCAAATTAGACTTCACACTTAAAGGAAGGGTTGAACAATTTTTAGTTTGTTTGTTTTTGTGCACTGGAGCTACAGAAAAAATAAATGAATTAAAATAGAGTGACTTAGACTTCTATTATATTAGACCTGTAGCTCCAGCAAAATATCTGCAACTCTGCCCAAATTATTCTTGCTTCATTCTGACACATTTAATTTGATATTTTAACCAACATAAGACCTTTTGTGTCACACCCAGAGTGGTTTAAAGAATAAGGCTAAGACCTAACAAGTTATCGTAGTGACCCAAAGTCTTTTTGGATAACATAGGCTTCTATTTTATTAGCTTGTAACTCCAGTCCAAAATAAATCCATGCCTTGAGTAAACAACAACATTTGGGGTCATCAGTAATTTGTGTAAATTTGATTTTTCTGTGAACCTTGTTTAGTCCAGGCCTGCCCTGATCATGAAAGTTTAGCTGATGAATAATTTCTATTACATGATTAACAAAATAATTCAGTTCTTCTTTTTTGTTCATTGAATGCAACTATTAAAGTGTAAGCTTAAAGTTGCCAAACTGGCTGATTAGCTATTTTGCTTCTTAGCTGTCGATACTTACAATGAAAACAGCTCAAGCTCAAATAAAGAAACATTACTCGCTGCTGCCCTCTAGTGTTATAGCACCAGAGGTTTGAACTGTTGTTAATTCTTTAAGACCCAGGATGCGTTTTGATAAATGCACTTTCTTTTATTTACATGTATTTCCCTGAACCCAACAGATGAAAACATATGCAACTTCCATTTTCTTTATGATGTAAACATATGATTGTGGTTATGTAGTAATTGTGACAGGCCTAGTTTAGTTGTCCGTTAAAGTGTTGATGTTGGCATCTACAAGAGGTATCGTGTTGTTTAGGTTACAGTATATGGCCAAAAGTATGTGGACAGTTGACGTGTATGTGTGCAATGATGTTATGTTAGCACTAGTACAAAAAGATGTTGTGGCACTTCACAGGTCTCAGAGGAGGCCTGTGCCAGTTTTGCCCTCCTATTACTGGTATTATTGTTTGATTGGGGGAGTCCTAACTAGTGACTGGAATTTGACAGGTTTAATTTGGGAAAAGTGGTAAACAAAAAAAATTCACATTTGTCATATTGTGGTTAGTGGGCTTGAGGTTAGGGTTCTGTTCAGGACACTGGATCTTCTCCACACCAACCTCATCAAACCATCATGAACTCCATCATGCTGAAACAGGAAAGGGCATGATCTGTTGTTTCTCCTACACAATTCCATTTCACAATAATAGCACTTAAGTTGACTAGGGCAGATCTAGTAGTGCAGAAGTTTCACTGACTTGTGGCGGCCTATGACAGTGCCACGTTAAACGTCACTGAGTTCTTCATTGTGACCCACTGCATGGCTAAGTGCTCAATTTTATATACCTGTTAGCAATGGGTGTGGCTGAAACACAAAGTCAATAATTAGAGGGGTGTCCACATACTTTTGGCCATATAATGTAATTTGCTTCAAGAACAAGCAAATTGCTGTGTTTTTGGGTTCACCTCCATGTACGGGTAAGATGTGAGACTGAAGAGCTAAATTACACAGCATATGAAGGAGGACAAGTCAGGATCAGATGACAGAGGCTGGACAGAGCAGGAAATTCTTGCTGCATGACAACACGTCAGCCCATATCTTCACTCTCACCATCACTCATCTGGAACTGGAGGATAAAGGCACATACTGGTGTGTAAGAAGGGGCAACTCGTCTTCTGACATTTACAGGACAAAGATCCACCTAGATATTAAACCTGGTAAGCGTTTTGTCATTAAATACAATGATTTGAAAAGTGTCAAACTGACTGCTGGTGAACTCCTAAATGTAGCCTAAACTCATCCTGAAATCTGACCTGTTAACTTTCTCATTACAGAGTTGACTTGTGAATTGGGTCAAAATGTATCTATTCAATGCCACTATAACCAGGAACTCAGGAGTTCAGTAAAGTTCCTCTGCAAGGAACTGAACTCATCTGACTGTGCAGAGGGAGGAGTCAAAATTACTTCAGCCGATCCTCAAACTGACCGAGTGTCTCTGAGTGATGATGCTTCTGCTGGAGTCTTTACTGTGACCATTGCTGGTCTGAAAGAGGAGGATTCTGGGACGTACTGGTGTGGGGGTTCGACAGGGTTGGAGCATGTGCTCATTTCTTCTGTGGATCTTGACATTTTTCAAGGTAAGCCTTCACTGCTGTCACAAGCACCATATGTCTGAAATAGACACTATTAGATACTAAGTTGAGCATGACATACCAGAATAAGTATTTAGTGTAAGTCCACTCTGTTAGACGCTCCTACCTTGTTGGTCCACCTTGTAGATGTAAAGTCAGAGACGATAGCTCATCTGCTGCTGCACAGTTTGTGTTGGTCATCCTCTAGTCCTTCATCAGTGGTCACAGGACGCTGCCCACAGGACACTGTCGGCTGGATGTTTTCAGTTCTCAGTCTAGCAGTGACACTGAGGTGTTTTAAAAACTTCAGCAGCACCGCTGTCTGATCCACTCGCACCAGCGCAACACACAAACACATAACTAACACAGAAAGTGGACATAAAATGGACAATGGATGTATAATGAAGTGGCCAATCCCTGCATATAACCAAAAGATTTAGGCTTGCTAACCCTAAAATCCAACTTTTGATATGAGCTCAGAATAAAGATGGACTAAACCTTGTTTGTTAGTTTTTTTTCTGATGTATTCAGCTGTTATATTGTATAATTAATAGCTAATACGGACATACTAATGTTTTCTTGGTACAGTAAAGTGCTTTGCACCTTATTTACTGCTCTTTATTGCATGTAATAGTTTTTATGATGGTTACAGATGCAGAATCATCACATGACTCCAGCACACCAATGAAACCAAAGAAGGTCACAACAAAGACCCAATTAGACAACACAACTAATTCTGTGACTTCTGTTGTGTTGATTTTACCACCACCTTCATCAGAGTCAGGTGACACATTCAAAACTTGTTTTGATAGTTTGGTTCATTTTGATCTTTTAAATGGTGATGATTTTTAATCAGTTCTGTCTGTATCTGAAGGCAACTTCGTGCTCAGTATTTCCTCTGTGGCAGTGGGCATTCTGCTGTTTGGTGTCATACTCTACTCATTTCTCAGATGGACACGAAAGAAACGTGGTAACTATCACTATATCTTTACATACATCAATGCACAGACTAGAGGCATCATAAGATATAGTGTGGCATGGGCATAGAGTAACACAGAGGGGAGGCCATGATTCTAGAGGTGCTATTTATTAAACACAAGGGCAGAAAGGCACATACAAAACACGAAACCCAACAGAGAATGTCACCATAAGCCAACCACTTCTACTTTGCAGTGACTAACCCCCAACACAAAACACACACAGCCCAACACAATATACCACATATCTTTAACAGCCAGACAACAACATAAACAACATTTCAAATCCTTTTTCCAGCGGCCGCATGCCTCTCATGAGCCTCCCAGCATGGCCACATCTCACAAGCATCTAGAGGACAGCACCAGTCACCACAATATTTATGGATATGGGGATATTTATGGATGCAGCAGAGGGGTAAAAATTGCCCCCAAATTCATTGTTAGATTAGCCAAAGACATACAATCAAGGCTAACTGATAAGTTTGCACACAGAAGATCTGTCTCTTAAGACTTAGACCCAGTCCCATTTTACCGCTTTGCCCCTACCACGTAGCCCTTACCCCTTTGTTTTGCACTGTCATGTATAGAGGTATAGTGTTCCAATTTTTGTTGAAATAGCTGGGTAGGGTGAAATGTAAGGATTATATGGCCTATATGGTTTTTCAGAGACACACTAAACAGAGTGTTATGAGAAAAAAAGAAAAAAGGCAAGATGGCTGGGCAAGCGACCAAAGAAACCCACAAATGTGAAAATCTTCTCCATTAGAACCAGCCTTGTGATCGGAAGGTCGCCGGTTTGATCCCCTGAGCCGACAGTATGTGCCTGAAGTGCCCTTGAGCAAGACACCTAACCCCCAACTGCTCCCCGGGTGCTGTGGATAGGGCTGTGTGCTCACTGCCCCCTAGTGTGTGTGTTCACTAGTGTGTATGTGGGTGTTTCACTGCACAGATAGATTAAATGGAGGTGAATTTCCCCGTTGTGGGATTAATAAAGGGTAACTTACTTACTTATAACAAGCAGAAAAAATCACAGTAGTATGCTAATGTCTTGCTTGCTAGCAAGCTAAATTTTGCCGTTCCACCTTAAATGGTGCAGCAGTTCTGACGCCTGAGGTGCCAGAATGTAACTGCTGCACCATACACACTAGTAAATGTACACATACTAGGGGGCAGTGAGCACACTCGAAACAAGGGGTAGAGGTAAAAATAAGAAATGGGATTGGGCATAAAATGCTTGAATGCTATCCATCCAATAACAATCAAGCAATGGTCTTAAACCCATGGAATCTTGTCTCCTCTTTCTTGGATAAGTTGCAGGTCCTAATTATGTCATATTGGTTCCTGACCTGCTCCAGATATATAAGAACTAATGGCTTAATGAGAGATCAATCGAAGAGCTCAGATTTTGTTTACAGAGGCAAAATCTTTCTGATTAGCCTTCAGTGGAACTGACACCTCTCTTGAAGATAGTCAATAAGCTATAAACTACTGCTAGCTAAGTAAGTTGAAGTCAGCATTTCTCACTGCCCAACTGCTCGGATATGTCCTCATCCTCCTCAAGTACCTCTTTCATTGTTGTCTTCTCAGTGCCAATTTGTTTTTTTTAGTTAGTTCTTGCTGTTGCTGTCCATCTTCAAATGACTCACATATGAAAAAGTTGTCAGCCGGTACCAAATTGACACAGAATGAATTCTCACGCTGAATTTGATACACTACTCTCTCGAGGCTAATGTTAGCTTCAGTGCAGCAGTAATACGCTAGCACCTGTACAGGCGTCAAAATAGTGCTGCTATGTAATTTAAGGTGGAACGGGAAAGGAGAATAAGAAGCCAACTTCAGCTTCATCTAATCTCTATCCAATGTAGACGTTGCAATCAGAAGTTACAGTTTGCAAGTGGTACAGACTGTGGGGCTGCTGGTTTAATCCCTAAAGTGCTGCAGATATACACTTTGATGAAACATTTAAGGTTGGTCTGAGTGTTCTTGTGCTTATATAGCATTTTCTTTACTTTCTGTTATGCTAAGGTTAGCTAACAGTTAGCCAGCATGCAGGTAACAAAAAACTCAGTAAGTTGTTATATTTACCATCATTTGCTACAAATTCATACTGTCAGTAGGTACATTCACACTGTAAATATATACTATTTCACTCCGTAGTACAGCAGCCTCCCCCAGGTCCTAGTGCTCTGTTATCTCAGTATATTTTGAATTTGACACAATGGCTCAGTCAGATAATCCAAACTACTGATGATTTAACACATAATGTACACTTATTTAGGGGGTTAAAGAAAACCAGGCTTAGAGATGCACTTGGCACAGACTATATATTTACTTACATTGTCACTGTCCAAAGAAACCATTTAACTGTGTGAAAATTTCATGAGGATAAGAATTCCAGTAGAAATGCTCAAAAATGGCTTGGAATAAAATATCTTTACATTAACTTACATTGAAAGTTTGAGTAGAATGTTTTTGCTCTCTCCTGTAAAGTTACCATTTCAGAGGATGCTTATTTTTCATTGGACATGCACTGATGCACAAACAGGTAGAATAACTCAGGCTTTAGCTCTGTGTGCCCACATTCACACTTATAGTCATAAAGTGGCACTTCTTGTTTCATCACTTCTCATTTTCCACCCAAAAATAACTAACATTTGCTTAATCAGTTGCTCACTGAACTGTGGCTTCACACCTCTTGTTCATTAAAACTATCCGAGTAAAAAAAGTGTATTTCACCCCCTGGTGATGAAGAGGAGTGAATGCAGTTGAGTTCTCACTGCTGTTTCTCATTTGTGCTCCGCAGATCGTGGCTCCTCAGCTGAAGTTAAAGAGGGAGATAACACAAGGGTGAGTTACAGGACATGTGTTTATTCCTCTATGTAGCAAATACACAGCAGCTGCAAACATTTCTGCCAAACGGAGCTCACATTCAAGTCATCATTGCTGCCTTGGACAGCTCTTTTTTATCTTTCTGTGAATGATTTTGTTCAGTAAATGCTACAGTCCAGTTTGTGTCAGTGTTATTGCTCGTCTCTGTTTCGTCTGTTCCCCTCATTTCTCATTGATTTCTAACTTTTCTCAGCTCCCTCCTCCTGCTGCAGACTACGAGGAGATTAAAGACATCAAAGATCATCCAGACACTCACAATAAAGCATCCACTGTTTACGCGACTGCTGAATTACCCACAGACCCATTAGATTCACCCACAGACCCATTAGATTCTCCTACAGACCATACTGATGGTCATGACTATGCTATGGTGACCCTCCATCCAAATCCAAACAGTACAGATCAGACTGACAGTCTTGACTACTCCACAGTGACCTTCCAGCCAAACAGCTCCGATGAGGTTCATGCTTCAGAGGAGATGTGCACTTACTCCACTGTCAGTCACTCTCAATCAGAGTAAATAGATGGAGAGCCATGGGAGCGTCAGATGTCATGTAAAGTCATGGTTATTATATGGAGGGTGCTGTTGGTAAAGTGTGCACAGGAGATATTTGAGTTTAGCTGTGACTGTTTTTGTCATCTGTCTGTTTAATCATTTTTTGAGACTTGTTTTATGTTTACTTTTATGAATATTTTAAATTGACATTGTTTTCACCTTTATTTTAATAATATTAATAATTATAAATTATTGATCTTGAGAGTCATGTTCAGCTTTTAGGGCTGTCAAAGGCCTAATGAGTTAATTCAGTTCTGAGACTTGACAGCTGGAAGTTGCAGTTGTGCACCAGTAATGCTGTTGTGTCACGTTAACATGTACCACTGCAACACACACTAACACGCCCCACTACATCAGTGCTGAGAATGACCCACCACCCAAATAATACCTGCTCTGGTCCTGTTGGGATCTTGACCATTGAAGAACAGAGTAAAAGAGGCCTAACAAAGTATGCAAGAGAAACAAGTGAAATAGATGGACTATAGTCTGTCACTGTAGAACTACAAAGTGCTCCTATATTATCAGTGGAGCTGGAAAATGGAAAGAGTGTAAATACAAAGAGGTGAAGCTAATGAAGTGTTTGATCAGTGTACATGCAAAACATAGCAGATCACATGTTATAATACGCCAGTGTATTTTAGCGTCACCTCCTCCCTTTCTGTCATTTCCCAAGATACTGTTAAAACACCTGCGTTGCAGCTGAGTTACATCAATACATCCTTGAGCAAATGTAGAAGTAGCTTGTCCCTTGCAAAGTGTAAAATGTTATGCAAACAGGAAAGTCCCCTTCTATCACCAACTAAGCTATTGAAAGTAGAATACATGGATGCAGAGAAGCTCTGGGAGAAATTTGAGGTTTTAACAATAATTTGAGGACTAAGCAAAGCTCTCGAAATCACCTTTATATAATCCATAAAGTCAGAGAAAGCATGCACTTCTCACATGTCCACATTTTAGCTAACACAAGGTTGTTGCACAACCTAGCAAATAAGCTCAACATACCAATGAACACTCCTAGATTGAGGTGAGTAAATGGTTTTGGTTTTGCAGCAGCAGCAACATTGAATGTTTCCTGCATTCGCAAACCTACAGTGTCTGATTAGACACAATAAAGAAGTAAATACTGATTTATAAATGCAAACATACATGCTGCAAACATAGGTCATCTTGCTGATCTGGATGCACACAGACATAGAGTGCCAGAAGCTCCCCCTTATGGACAATCTTGTTAAAGCAACATTATGTAGCAATTTTACCTTAAAATAACTGGCACATTAGTATTAAGCGCTATAGCGCAATGTAACTTTGGAGGAGCGGCACGACACCTCCCATGAGAACTGCATAACGTTTTACAGCACCACGTAACACACTAGCATCTATGGCTCGCCATTTAGCTATAAGAAGAAGCTATCTCAGTATTCACAACGTGGACATCATGGCAGAAACTGTGAACAGACCAAAGAAGATGTTGTCGGAGGAAATGAGGTAGAGAAGAAGAGAGAGACTGAGCAAGAGACCAGGCAAGAGTAAATATCAGACTGGCTTTTACTCATTGGTGGGAGCTAAAAGAGATAAAAGGATGCAAATCTAATGCACGGCCAAGGGGAAAACAATGAAAGTTCCACAGCGAGTGGTCATCCCTGCCAATGTTCTTGATGATAGATTGCAACGTGGGCTGTAACCATATGTGTCATCCCTTTATCACAGAGTTTTTTAGTTTTTCTGAAGGCCAAAAGTCTCAGGCTAGCATGCAAACAAATAAATTCATCTCACACCAAAATGTTTGGCCAGTCTTTGTCAATCTCACCCCAAATAAGCCTTGAAAGCTTGTAACCTCCTGTAATTAAATCCTTTAATATTACTGTATATTGTTAAGTCGGCATGGTTCTTTCTCTTCTGGTGTTTGTGTGCTGAATTCTGATTCCTCAACAGAATCTGACTCCACCTCATGTGCATGTGCGTGACGCAGGCATATGGATGCTGCAGATTACACTCACCATTTCGGTTATTTACACATAGAAACATAGACATTACGAGTGTAACATGTAGCGTACATATGCCTGCGTGATGCACATGCATATGAAGGGAAGCTGAATTCTGTATCCTTCAGCTCATCAACAAAAGCACAGCTTTCCATGTGGGGGCGCTCAAACCGCAACTTGTATTTACGACAGCAATTCTCGCAAAATGTTGCTTTAAATGTTGGTGAGTGAGTTACAAGCCAGGTCCAGGAGATGCTTCGCTTCTTAAAAAGGAGAATACTGAGATGAAATGGTGAAGCAGGAATTAAAGGGGGTGAAAAGGTTCATTTCTGTGTGGGAGATATTTAGAGAAAAATATGTCTGTGACAAATATAGTATGTTAAATAAAATACACAGATTTTTTCCTTGTAAGTAGTTATTAGTGTTTAAAGTCAACTCATACAGCATGCTTTTGTGGCTCTGTAACATTTAAACCCAGCTCCCATTTTTTAAAACATCTACACTTAATGCCACACTCCAAGGTCTGCCCCCCTCCTCTCTGCCTGCTTAGTGTCACCTGCTTACTGATCACTGGCTCCGCCCCTCACCTGATCTTCATTCTGCTCCCTATTTAACCACAGCTCAGTTGTCGCAAGCTGTATGAAGTCTCCGGTGTGTTGATAGTTTCTGAGTCTTGCTGCTTTACTGCTCTCTGCCTGCTGCTGTTTTGGTTTGTTTTTTTTGGGGGGGGGGCTTTTTAATGGTTTTTCATATGTTGGGAGTGTCACTAGCAGGCCTTCAATAGCCATGAGCACTGTATTTCCTCATGCCTAAACCCCGAAAGGCCAAATGCAGTGCTCAGGGCTACTGAAGGCCAAACATAGTTTGACTTGTCAGATCTATTATATGATGAAGTTGAACAACACTACTCATATTTCGGCGTTACTCAGGTAGAATCTAACTTATAAATGAGTTCTGATGTCAACAAGTGATCTGAGTTCACATCAATGTGAAAGAGAACCAAGTTCCCTTTAAAATGTGCTTACATTGTGGACACAGACAGCACTGGGGTCATTTGTAGCTGGTTCACTTTAATAGAACTACTGGTGGACATATGCAAGTAACAGCACATGTATGTGCTGTTACTTGCATATGTCCACCTACTGGTAGCTCCTTACTGAGAAGAGTGACCATAAAGCCTGGCTATGGAAACTAAAACCCCATCAAAGGAAAGACGTTGGACATCATGGAAAATGTAGTTCAGTCAAAGTTATAATGGGAAACGTTAAAGATACTTTTTCCTGTGATTATAGTGGAGCACTGCAATATTTTACCAGGACAAGTGCACCAGTAAATTGGGTCTAGTGACGACCCTGTTATACAGAGCACGAAGCATTATTATTGAAAAGAAATGAGGAATTTATAACAATGTCGCTACTGAAACCAGTATGTCAATATCAGACAGACAGTTTGTTTTGGTAGTGGCATTTTTTTGACACGCAAATGACAATCAAAAGCTAATTTTGCATTTATCTCATGTGTAAATATACATAACTAAAGAAATTTATTATGAGTTACAGATACATTATGAAAAACACATTGTTTTACAAACATCAAATCTTAGGCAGATGATACATGACGCATGTGTGGTGCTATTTGGGACAATTCAACATTCAGCAGGTAGAGGTCAATACACACAAAGCAAATTCATAAAAACCAGGAAGCCACGCAAGTCCATCCGTTTCTCTGCATACTTTGTTACCCTGTTCTTCGGTGGTCAGGACCCCCACAGGACCACCACAGAGCAGGTATTATTTGGGTGGTGGGTCATTCTCAGCAGTGACACTGACATGTTGGTGGTGTGTTAGTGTGTGTTGTGCTGGTATGAGTAGATCAGACACAGCAGTGCTGCTGGAGTCTTTAAACACTGTGTCCACTCACTGTCCACTCTATTAGACACTCCTACCTTGTCAGTCCACCTTGTAGATGTAAAGTCAGAGACGATAGCTCATCTGCTACTGCACAGTTTGCGTTGGTCATCCTCTAGTCCTTCATCAGTGCCCACAGGATGCTGCCCACAGGACGCTATTTTTGGTTGGTGGACTATTCTCAGTCCAGCACTGAAGTGTAACATAAGCTCAGTAATTATTGGCCATAAGATGGTGTATATACTAGCTAGGTATGTTAGCTAACTTCTTTTGTCAAACCTTGAAGATTCCTCAAATTTTGCATTCCATCATGAATGGCAGCAGAAAGGAGGTACCTGAATGTAACTGCTGAATGTTTATGCTGAATTAAACTTCTTAAAATGCTTTTTTTATTTCCGAATAGTTTGTAATAGTAAACGTCTCATAGTATGTGTTATGCATGTATGCAAAATAACACAAATTATTAATGTAGGATGTGACCACAAACTTTCAAACAGTACACCTGTAGTAAAAATTGTTCTTTATAATATCAAAAAGGCTCTCCACATAAAGGAAACCATTTCTTTATGGAACCATATACAACTGGTTTTCTATAATAAAGAAGAACCATTTAACCAAGCAAAGATTCATTTCAAGTTCAGTGTTTGCATCCAGATGGTTCTTTAAATGTTCAGTGCATGATTATTGCCTTCACTAATGAACACTAATGAGCACAATCATACCACAGCAACTTATTGGAAAGCTGAGCTTGCTATGCCTGAACATTTGCCTCTGCAGTTGAATCCTGGTATATTATACATACGGCAAAGGATATGGCGTCCGCTGTAGACCGGTTAGGGTGATGTGTAAACTGAAATGGATCCAGTGTGGAAGGAAGACTCTTTATGTATAATTACCAACTGCTCAAAGCAGCTCATGATGACAGGAGTGGGCTCTATGTGTCAGTAGTCAGTAGGCAAGACACAGTAAGTTTTCTCAGCTTGAACTCCAGGACAGATGTTGGTGGTGTCAGTTATGAATGATGTCTAAGCTGGAACATTTTTAAGTGTACATTACTGCTCAGTTCATTTACAACATGTAAAAAAACACCAGAACAATATAATGATAGTGACGTTTCACACAGAACCTCTATATCAGAGGAATGACTGATAGAGAGTGGAGAGGAAGTAATCTGCTCCCTGGGGCATTGGGTCATTAAACAATTTGCCCCCTGCAGGTTATGTAATTGGTAGTTTGCCACCTGCAGTCATGATTACTAGAGAGCACTTAGCAAAAATTAGCATATGACAGTAAACAATACAGCATCTCTCACAGTTACTGATGATGATATCATACTGTTATATTACAGGACCATATTGGTCATAATA